CAACTGGAAAAAAAAGCCCTCCGTGTTTTTCCAGCTGTAAAAACCAGCAGGTCGCAAAATAAAAGCCGGTCGATTTTTCCGGTTGGACATGCGGCGTAATTGCCCAACTGGATTTAAAATGGTCCAACTGGAAATAAACAGCCCAAACGGGTTTTAGCGTTGACATGGGGAAACCCGGGATGATAGGAAATATAAATAAGAAGAGGGCCCTGGTGTTTACCCCCTGCTGTGTGACCCTGGATGGTTGTATTTGTACGAAAAAATACACTGAAAAGTGTAGTACTCTACATGCCATATGCGCTGAAAAGTGTAGTACACGTCTCACCACGAAAAATGGGGGGACTGTCGCCAATATAAACAGGACGAATACACGAAGACACACACGGTAGAGAGGGTCCAGTCAATCGTTGGTTTGCACAATCCACGTCGCGTGGGTGCGACTATGTCGTGGCGTTGAGATTGGAGACCAGATCTGTGTCGGCAGTATACCCCCCCCCCCCCCCCCCCCCCCCCCCCCCCCCCCCCCCCCCCCCCCCCCCCCCCCCCCCCCCNNCCCCCCCCCCCCCGTGAGCCTCATTCACCCCCAAAGGAATCGGTTGAGTGAAGTAAGTAGGCCTGCCTAACCCAAGATTAGTTTAGAAGGGCAACAGCACGCCTACTCATAAATATCTATGGTGTTACATACTATGCGAACAAACCGCCGAGAAACCCTGAAGTGGGCATTTCTTCTTCACGTGGAAGTAAATAGGCGAAGCTGGATGAACAGGACGGAGGATTGGGAGGAAAAACATTCTTCAATATCACAAAGTTTCAGAATGAGCATGTCACCTGTTGATTCAGCTCACTCTCGTCACGCTGAAAACACAGGAACACGAACAATAAAAAAAATAGTCTAACCGTCACGCGATGGTGATGGCCCTCGACGGAAGTTGTGGAGATGGGACCATGTCGACTACACACACACCTTCAAGGAGCTGAACGCCTCTACTCGAGTACCCGTAACCCAGCTAGAGGGGAAAATACTCGCTTCGTTGTCATCATAGCAATCTCCCGGTACTTCTTCGGGGTATGCTTCGTCCGCCCAGTCACTTTATAACTCCAGGCTCAAGAATCCTTTTTAGGCCCCAACGGTTGGGTGGCAGGGTTCAAGCGGGGTAATTTCCCGCCGAAATCAGACGTATCGGTGGGACGCCAGTGTGAATAGAGACGGAAGCTCCACCACGGACATCGACATGGGACGCTTTTGAACGCCACCAATTCTTGCACAGATAAATGCTGCGCACAAGAACGAAACACCATCAATGCTTGAAGAGCTCCTAAAGTGGACCGTTCGCAGTTGAACTCGTCCGGAACGAGATTGTCGGGTTGCGGACAAGAAGGACAGGGACAAAACGATGAGCGAGTGCTATCTAGAACAAAAATAGAAAACCTCTGCCGAAAGCAACCAAAGATGACAAAAAAACTTCTGGCTCTGGGCTATGTGTCCAATCTCTCCGAAATTGAAACAACTTGGACAAAGAAAACGAAAAGAGCATAATCTATTCGTACGCTACTCAACGAAGACGGAAGAAAACGCTGAAGCCTTCTCACTCAAAGGGCCAAAGGCAGGCACCACAGGGGAGGAAAGAAAGGTAGAGAATGTTTTCACCCGGGAGGTGCGTCAAACACATGCCAACAGGTGTCAAGACTGGGGCCCAAAACAGATGGAACGACCAAGAAAAACGGAACTTGTTAAATAAATAAATCAAAGCTGTGTGCTGTATGCATGGTCCTCTCTATCCCGGCACAGTGCTGACCTATCGGTGCGGCTTCGAATTTAATGAAATCAAGCCTCTCCTCATACAACACAATCACGCTACATTTTGAAAAGGTACTGAACAGGGAGTACAAAACAAGAAATCGACAGAACTAGCAGAGCTGGGCGATAAGATATTGAACCCGAAAATCAAATCAGAAAAAACTAAATGGGTTCCACTGAATCAACAATGTAACTTCCTTCCTGATGCGCCCAGTCGGTGCTGATACGCTGGCCAACATTTTAGGTATTGCCAAGTGGATGCGCCCGTTGCCACCTTACTCAATAATCTCCAGGAAACAAGATGCAAAATAATCTCGAAATGTTAAACCCACCACCCAAACTCTAAATACACTGCTGTATGTACTACTTCTCCAATAAATAGTGGTTCACCCTTTCGCCAAAACCAAGGAGGTTTGGCAGCGACATATAGCGACGAGGGGAAAGGCGAGCTTGAAGTCGTCCAATCGTTACTAGCAATCGTCCCGAACATGCCGCGAAGGGCGGCATGACATTCACAAACCCACGTTCCTGTTCTTTCTTCCCGCGGCCCTGCAACAATGCCGGACATCCAGGTACTGCACAGTCTTGCAAGACTGCCGTATCCCGTTCCGTCGCGTGCACCCTAACGTGGAACACTCACTGACGTCAACAGTACACCTACAGGTTATTCTTGCCGACTTCGGCCTCCACGACACCCAGACGAAGGGTACGCACAGCGAAGTTGCAGACAGATACAACGGGGACGAGGCCGGACACTGCCAACGCCGCAAACGTTCGCGGCTTCCCCGCGATCAATCGTGTAACAACGACAGGGGGAGGGGACGCCTCATGATGCATGCATCGCCCTCGGCTCTCTCAACGTATCCAACCGGGGACGGCTATTGAAATTTCTTCTTTGTATACGACAATGGCATCCTGCATCCTCAATGGGCCAAACTCATGCCTCAATCCGAGGCGAGACAGACCTGTGGGACGCCCACCTACTTCACGCTGTGCTTGCCAAAAAAATACCCGATGGGTCTAGCGTTTCTACACTAAACTCTTCTACACCCACCGGAACCCGCCCCAAACCCATCCTCCTTCAATTCCAGGTTGTCGGCACCAACACGTATGTCAGTTTGGTTACGGACAAGATATCAAAATGCTTCATCAACAAACCCCACCTCATACTCCCAATCAACCAAGTATCGACGTCGTGCCAGAAGGGACGTCCAGAATTGGCACGCACGTTCTAAAAAAAAAAAATGTATCAGGACCCAACGGTCGACGAATTGTTTTGCCTACTTATCCCGAAGTCCAAAACATTGCTCAAATTAGAGCCCTGTGCATGCCGTTGAACACGATCTGCGAAGGCACACGACCAAACCATCTATATGGACTGAGCTACAAGGTAAGTGATTCTGGTGTGTTATGCACAAAACTGAATGGCTACAATATCTTCTACTGCCTGGCGCAGGGGGGAACAGACTCTATTGAGTGCCGCCGCACCTGTACAGTGCTAATTACAAACATCAGCCCGGCCAGCATCGTGGGGCACAGGACGAGCCCCAAAACCGCCAGCCACCCCACGCCCAATTCCTCACTTGCTTCCACCACGAACGACACGACGAAAGCGATGACTCCCAAGAAAAATAGCACAAGGGCCAACACCGTCACGTTGCACATCTTCCGCAGGAACCTGTGTAGGTGCATCAATATTTTTGCATCCCATAGAGGCACATGGTCAACGCAAGCAGGGAGGACGGCCGGGGTCGGTGAACGTACGTTTGGACCCTGACGGGTTACAAGTAAGGCTAGCTCGAGGCGCAACGTCGCTCGAGGCACAACGTCGCCCAAGGCGCAACGTTGACCTACGTAGGGCAAAAAGGGTGTCTTCCTCTGCGATGAATAAAGATGTGGTCTCTTGCACGAACTCACCTTCTCGTTAGCGGCTTAATGTCTGTCGAGTGTGCGTACAGCTGCTGCCCCCGGAAGGAGATCAGGCACATCATGGTGCTGGACGACGTCTCTAGCCCGAAGGACAGGAGCGCCAGTCGTCGAGCAAGGTCCGTCTTAGCAACGTCGAAGAGCACAAGTGTGAAACCCGACAACAGCGTGGCGACCAGGATGGGAGGGTTGAAGGCGCTTAGCCTAACGAGCAGCCTGGAGTCCTCCTCCATCTTGTGGATCTCGAACACGGTGTCTTCACCGGCTGCGACGGCAATCGGAAGAGATGGGGAAATGAAGCGCAACGGCAAAGAGAGGTGGTGCTGCATTGACCCGGGTTGCATAATTACACAACGTTGGTCGGCCTTAGGGTACGAAGGCACACTATGGGGCGGCGTACTCATGTGTGCCTAGTTGTTAGACCACGCGCCCTCAACAACATGGAGCGTTGTTCCCACAGGACGGAACACCAGTAGCCAATCGTCCCTCGGACGTTACCAAAGGTGGCCCAAAAATGGTCATCCTATTGATATCACTTCCCGCCTTTTCAACCCAATTCCCATAGCCCGGTAAGCTACCTTCTTCTCCTGGCTATTCCATGCCTTTTCTTTGTACTCTCCTTGGACTTTTCCCACCTCAGTCGTGTACATTTCTCCATTTCGTTCAACGGACATGCTGTGACTACAATAACTCCGGTCTGGGCACTGGGAGCAGCATTCACAACTAAACTTGACATCGTCTCCGTCGCCCTTCCTAACTCTTCGTCTCCGTTCTCGCAAGGCCAATGTCCCCAGTCCAAAATTTTGCGGGCACATGTCCCCTGCATCACTTTGTTCATGTTGGTAATCCTTGAGCCCTGGCTTCCAACATTCCGTATACATCTAGACCAGGCTCTACCATGATTTATTTTTCCGTGGATCTCCGTTCTTCTCCCTTCGACAGGGCACCTCATATCTCCTTCTTGAACCCCTCTAGGCTTCCGTTTACAGCGAATCATATTGGTGGACTTCTAACCCCTTCCACATTTCCTTTCGAACCTTCACCAACTTTATTGAGGCACACCATGGGGTGGGCGCAAACAAAATAACACCGACGACAACAGCGGTAGCAACAGGAAGGCTGGCATGGTACGGCCGTGCACCGAAGGCAGAGGCTGCGGGTGAAGGTCACCACAACCAGCCAAGAACTACAATCCGACGCGTGGACAAGATGTCACGCGCGGAAAAACCAAAAGTAACCGGCGCGTGGGTCAGCCGTTATCGAACCTATCGATAACGACGTCCTGGCTGAACGAAGAAACTTCGAGGTCGACGGAGAACACGGCGCTTCACAATTCTCGGCCCGTGAAAGCGTGGCGGTCGCCCTATATCGCGGTCAACAAAGTCTAGTGGTTTCGCAAGCCACCGAAGTGTTGTACGGGGTCTCGGCTGCTCCTACAATGGATTCCTTCAATTGGAAATCCATTCGTTGACCATGCGCATATGCAAAATGTAGTCGGGTAGTCATATAATACACTCTCGGGTGTTCGACATTGGAGTCGGCAATTCGCACCCTCATCTCCGAGCTGCTCGCTGCTGTTCACGCGCTGCCGTCTCTCCCGAATCAGTTCTTGGACCCGAGACATCCTTCGTTGCTCTGAAGGAAAACATGGCGGAAGCACCGCGCGGCGGAAGCGCGGCGACATCAGGCACAAGGTTAAAATTGTAATTCAAGTTGCGGGCACTGATCTGACGCTGAACACGAGGTTTTTTTAGTTCAGAGTACAAAACGACACAAGAGTGTAAAACAAGTGGGTGAATCGCAATTTGCAACTGACAACAACTAGTACTATTGGGCCCCGCGCTCGAACATGTGCAGTACTTCTGCTCACGCCATCGATAGGAGCCGAGCCCCATGCCCTCCTCCACCGGCTTGCTATAGAACCAATGCAGAACGGTACATTTACGTGGGGCTCTGGCAAGACCGAGTCCCCGACTCATCGAAAGGTCGTTTATCGTCGTCCGGCCACGCTGGTTCGTATCTTTTGGGGGCAGCTGGACCTCATACTAAAGCTTGTGGCCAAGATACAAAAAAAATCGTGTTCTTCTTGCTTATAGACAGAAAAACACAGCCCCTTACCCTGTAGGTAAGCAACGGTTTCCTCTTCCACGGTCACAGTAGTGGAGAATACTAATCTCGCTCCACCAGATACGCACAGGAGGCCGGACGGGGCGAAAATCAGGATTACGCAAACATACAAACCCGCACAATGCGTCAGGCACATACCCAGACAGAGAACGTTCGACGAATCCATTCGCACTGCAGTACTCGCGATCAAGCTCAAGCACGTGCAAGGGCAGGGAAGCGGATGGATAAGCATATGCGTTGTTGACTTGCCTGCAACTTCTTGCGTAGGGTCATCTGCGTGCGATCGCGTCATGATCAATGAGATCCTCTTTTGGGGTCGTGCGGCTGTCGAGATGAGAGAAACCGTAAGAGAAGCGCCGACGACAGTGTCAAGCCATGTGCGCGCGGGGAGGGTATTGTGAGACGGAAACGGGAACAAAGCCAGATACCCAACCATACGGCAAAGAACACGAGGCTCGGCAACGGGAAGCCCCAGACGTATTGCAACCCTTGGTGTTGTGTGACCCTACACGAGAAGCGACGACAATAAGCGCATATTGTAGCACTAACGTAACGACGAGAGTACGTCTGTGAAGTGTACGATGCTGTGTACCTCTTCCCCCCGTGTAGGCATCGTTCACGGTTTCCCGCGACAAAAAGGTTCAATGCCAAATCCGAACGAGTTCTTGGACAGCTCGCATCAAGACGACGCGATTTTCCACATCCCAGCTACCTCATCGTGGAGAAAACGAGAAGCAACCATCGGCCAAACCGACGGCGGACGAATATTGAATATTCAATGACATTGCACGTCGCAGTTCTTGGGACTCGGGAGGGTATTGCAGAACATGCAAAAATCTTGACAAGTAGTTCGTTTTGATCGATTGGGTTTGCCACGGACGAACTTCAAAACTGGGTCCATCCTCGTTTGGAGATAATCAATCTTGAACGGAAACGCCTCAAAATCAGCGTGTGCTGGCAGTTTACTTCACAATATTGCGCGCAAGGTACGAGCGTTATCCTTCGAAACATCCTTGCGGCAGGTAACCGACGTAGGGGAGTCCGGGTTCAACGAGGCGAGCAGAGTCATCATACAACACTCTGATTGACTGCCCAGATGCCCATCATACCAAGGATCAATCCCATGGACAGGATCCAATCCAGAATGGATGTAGAAAAGGGACACGTCGTGAGGTTAGATACTCTGGAAGCGAGCTCCTGCGGGGGATAAAAAAACAAAAAGATACCTGCCGATTACCGATATTACTTGTTCTGCGAAAATTTTCGGCACCTTCTGATCCTCTTCTCTGATCGGGTACGACAGTAAGAAATCTCGAGAGCACCAGTTTTTCCTCTCGCAGCTGCGCTTTCTCCTCCCGCAGCAGTCGCTCCCTGTGGCCTAACCTTTCCTCTACCGAAGCCAGCGCACCCCCCTCTTTCCCCCGATAAGAGCCGCCGACCTCAATGGCCCCCTGCCAAATTGCAATTGCAAATTGGGCGGGCTATGGAACAAGGCAATGCAACCATGTCAGCATCCAAGGCAAAAACAGCAGCAACGACGACGTCGACGACTTCCGCAGAGGAAGAAACAACGACGTTAGAAAAATTAACCGCAGTCAAACACACCTGCACGTTCTCCAGATCTTGCTTGACCCCTGAAATCTCCGCCTCCTTTGCGGCAATATCCTGCGCTAGCTGATTGACTGTCTCCAGGACAGCATGCACGTCGGACCAACGCCTGTCCGTCATCGATGAACCCGGCCGATATGGTATAGGGTCCGCCACATCGGCGGTGTTGGGTGGCGTCGGAACACTGTTCGATGTTGCTGCTGTCCCATCCGCAGTGCCAATGGGCCGCACAGCGTTGATAGGAGCGACAGTTCCGCCAGAAAACGCGACAGCAGCGGCGGCGGCAGCGGCGGCGTCACCAAACGGGGCATATGCCGGCGCCAAGGTGGAAACGGGTCGAAACGCTTGTTGTGCCGCAGATGATCGCGGTGGCCTGTTCTGGTTCTGCCCCGGCGGTGCTCGTGGCGACTCCGCGCCTGCGACGTCGCCGCCTTTGCCGTCGGACTGTCCGGAGGCGTCGCTGAGGTTGCTGAGGGCGCTAGGGACCCACGAAGGCTTTCTTCTGGTAGTCGCCATTCTGAGCTACGCCGGTGGTGCCAGTGAACGGCACCACTTTGCTTCGACACCACTCCCACTACAGCAGTACTTCACGAATAGCCTGGGTCTTCTCGAACGGCCTGCGTTCACGGCAAGTTCGCTTGCTCGACCAACACAGGTGTGCTGGGAAAAAACTTTCGCCCGGAGAGGTCCGTGCTATTCAATTAATCAGTGCAATGAACTGCCGAGGTTTAGCATGGACACAAGGAAGGGCGAGCAGCAGTAGAAGCGGCAGAGAGAAAAGCAGTGCGAGGATAAATCATGGGCAAGGGGCGTGGCGTCGGCGACAGAGAGAGAGAGGCGCAGATCTCCTACTGCATCATGTACATCATGTGCCCCCGCAAGAGTTATCCCGTTTCGAACAAACCCTCTGCCTGTAACTGCGGGGAGCCGTCCACGAGTGACACCGTTTTTGCCCTCCAACATCATGTATGTTGACCGTGCTCCGTCGACACAAGAACGATAGGTACATGCATACTTCCTTTGAACTACCGCATCTTGGACGAGCAGCAGACAGGCAGTCACAGACGTAAGATGTGTGCCCCTGAACCGTGGAGGCAGACCTCCTCTATACTCCACTACAGCGGCACTGTTGTGCATGAACTACAACAGTACAGTACGACAAGAAGCACGACAAGAAGCGCACACACCGCACAGCCGTTGCGCAACTGCTCGCATGACAGCCTTTGGTACACTAGCCCGAAAACCCGCTGAGATCTACGTATGGTATATACACCGTGCTACTGGGTCGAACATAGTACACAGCCGGTTTCCCTCCATTTACTGCAAAGACTCCAACACATCCCGTTCGACTGTGGTTATATCTCGAATGGGTACAGTAATCTTTCTGTGTTTGAATTACAGCAGTAAATGAAGACAAGTCGATGCAGATGCAGGCTGACCATGAACGAGGCGGCGGTCTATGAAATCACGCCGCGCTGCTGGTTTGAACATTAGTATTGTAGAACGTATCGAGGTGAACCTCGTGGACCACGCAACTATTATGCAAGCTCTTAGCACAACTCCTTTCCACGATTCTTCCACCTTGTTTACATAGCAAAGCTTCTTCCTCCTGTCCCTGCTGCAGGTCTAATGTACAGCAGCAGCAGTACACCGGTGTCAGCAAGGCATGATCTGCTGTTCGGAGACCCACCAAGTCAACAACTACGTCGGGACGCTGGTTCTCACCATACGAAATTCATAAAAAAGACACCCTCTTCATCACCTTTCTCCCTTCCTGCCGTTCTCTCTCTCGTCTTCTCTCTTGTAAATCTCCGCCCCTGGTGCGTACCTTTGTGCTCCGCACGCGCGTGGGGGGCGTACGGTGGGCGGTGACAAGCAAAGACTATGACATAATAACCTGGTTATTATATGTCATAGTCTTTGGTGACAAGCGGTGGGTCGATAGGGGGCGAGATTACAGGAACAACTTGGGTATCTGAAGAACTTCCCCTGAAGAATGCACCGATTACGCGGAGCCCCAACACAGTCGGTGGTCGGCGCTCTGTCGGCACCAGCCGGAAGCACAGCAGTTGAGACGGAAGTGGAGTAGAGCTGAATGTGGCTGCCGAGAACGTGCTCAGTCACGCACACTGGTCCTTTTACCCTTAAAGGCTGAGCTGGACATTTTCTCTGCAGCAGGTGTGTATGCCACTTCAACTGTAAATTACTCCGCTTTGCCCAACCGCCTTACACAACCGCCTTGACAGAGTTCAACATGCCTGCGACGTGTGGGCAACAGGCCGGCCTTTGTCACGGACCGCAATGACGGCATGGCTTTCCCTCGCCTCATTGTTTCTATCGCGGAAGTGTTCGAAGACCCGAGCACGTGATCAAATCCAAGCGAGCTGTTGCTCTAGTCTTATGCGGCAGCAGGCTGGTTACCCGCAACAACGGGGTTACTCCGGGCGGACATGCCACAGCGTACAGTCCGGGCCCGGGAGATAGGAACGGTCAAAATCAGGTCGAGCCTTTCACTGTATATGTTTCATCGCCACTGTCGAGCACAAGATGTCACAGAGAGTTTAGTCTAGGATCCACCGCTGAGCTGTGCTTCTTGACCCTATCGGCTTCTTCTTCGTGGAACTGTAAACTGTTCATGTTCCTCTGTTTCGTATGTACATGTTTGAAATACTCTACGAAGGTTAATGGCGGGCCCGTTCACCCTCCTCCTGTGTAGCTAGAGTAGCACCTGGCACCGAAAATCCACTCTGAGACCACACACACATCGAGACTTCTTGAGACGCCCCTCCACCCAAACCAAACTTGCGAATAGACATCAAGTGTTGAAATGAGGGATCTGCCTGATGTCTGCACATATGTATCTGCCACATAGACTATATATAGTATACACACTTCTTTTTCTCCCATCATTGGACTCTGTCGTCTGCCCCTCTGGCCCCTATCCTCCACTTCTACCAGCTAGACGATCCAATCGGGGTCACATAAGAGGGGGTGGTTGGACCACCCCCTGCGGTTCCTGCCTGAGATGTTTTTATCGCGAGAAGGGTACAGCAATCCCTTCCCTCGCGACTTACGAAGTCGATCAAGTTTACTAACAACGAGCTTTGCAGCGCGTCGCTTCCAACAGAGACCAGGCTTTTAATTAGCGAGAAAAACCTCACTCTGTCGGGACTCAAACCCATGACCTGGCCCTTAGCAGGCTGCGAGGCTACCCACTAGACCACCGGGGCGACCGGTGTATATATCAGTGATCGGGTACCATGCACATGCAAGCAACATTAACACAGTATTTTGCATCGTTCTTAAGCCGTTACACTATCACCACAAAGACAAAGCATTGTCATTTCCCCATCCACGGCGTTCGCCACAGAAGGGAGTTGCTCTCTAGCCGCTGCTACGGTCGGCTGAACGGCGAGGGGGGTGCGGATGGCGATGATCGGATCCCTAGCCCAGGGCTTGGTTGGCGTGATCGTCGATGAGGTGGCTGCTCAGGGGGGGCGGCAAATGCAGCAGCAACGAGAGAGGGGTGCTTCTTTTCAACAGCAGCAACACCAGCAGCAGCAGCATGACGGGCAGTATCAGCCCCAGCAGCAGTACACACAGCAACGACGACAACAGCATCAGCATCAGCTCCCACCAGGCCCGCTGGCAAGCTTGGTCGAGTCAATGACGATGCTCGTAAATCGGGCGGTAGCCGCGGCGGTGACGGTAAGCGGGTCGTCCACTGTTGTCATTCATGTGCCGTCCTCGAGTGGTGCACAGGGTATTCCAAGGACACGGAATGCTTGTTCTGTCGTCACACTCGTTTTCAAAGCGACGGATTTTGCTTACTCTGGAAACAGAATTTCGTTCCCAAACCAAGCCACAGAGGCGGGACCAGAATACGTTGTTTTCTGGAGAGACCCTGCCCTACATGCTGTCAATCATGCTGTGGGCCTACCCGTCAATATCTCAATTTCCACTCCGAGACAGAATCTGCATTGCCAAGGTTACGCCTTCCTGTAATTCGGATCCGGCAAACAGAGAACTCAGTCTGTGGTGTTTCCTCAACCTCAAACAGGGGCTGAAGAATCGTTGGTCCCCATGGACGTTGATGTTCCTCCGTGTAGCTGCTCACAAACGGGCGTCACCATCGGTTGTTTATCTTCTCTTGAGCTCATTTCGCTTTCCAAGTGCATGAGTGAATCGGCGCTGCCTTCCTCAAGACCTCACCTTCACCTCCCTCAACAACAGGGACTGCAGTACCTGCTGCTCTTCGAGGCTGTGCTACTGTCGGCTGTGATCCTATACGGGGCGCTGTACTGGCTAGTCATGCCTCTCCGCCTGCACGATAAGCCCATCTTCCTGGACTACTCCGACAGAGCAACGACGGTGAGAATCATTTCATTGTTTTGTTTGATACGGTGGGTTTGTAGCGGCTACTATGACGGATTTTCATGGAGACATTGTCGTGTCTCAATTTCTCGTTTTCTGTGTCCCTTCGTTTACCAAATCCTATTATTATGGACTTTGACACCGCTGCTCTGCCGCTTGTTTTTCTGTGCTGGCAGGGAGGTGCGACGGGCACGGTGGACTTTCTGGCGAGGCACACACAGTGGGACCCGTCCCCTCTCACCAACGTCGAGCGTCTCAACACAAAGTGAGCCAGATACCCACCGCTGAGCGCACCCCCGCTGCCCTAGTTCTTCTCCACCGCACGGCAGATGTCCATAACCGTAGATTTCGGGAGAACGTTTGACAAGGCGTGACCAACGTCATCACTGATGATGCGGAGCTGCACCTGTTCTTTGTCGTGTAGTCGGAAATCGATATTCAAGTCTCTTTTTTGTCATGGTAGGTAAATGTGACCGTTACGACTCGCCGTCCTATATATCCCATCGGGGTGGTGCTGCCCTGCAGGGTGCTCAACGCTGGGCAGCACTACAAAGTCGGCCTGGAGCTGCAGATGCCGACCTCATACATCAACAGGAGGGTCGGCGTCTTCATGGTAAGACAATTATTGGTGCATATACCACACTTATATGTGTTGTATGCTACACTTCCCCAGCTATCAGCGGCGATGCGGCGCCACACGGCCTTTTCGGTAAGCAATGTGTGTTTAGCTTTGTCCTGATGACAGAGATTTTGCGCAGAAACTTCTCAGCGATGACGGTACAAATACCCGCCGAAAAGCACGTAGTTGAAGAACGCAGCAGCAGCCTGTGTTTCAGCAACGGGACCGCGAGAGCGCACGCGAGGAGAAACGGCGAAAATATTTTTTTGCCACGAAATGATGCGAGGTATCTGCTGCAGTTAGTTTCTACCGAAACCAACCGTGGCACTACCGAAAGTAGGTTGATATTTACAACGATGCAACCATGATAGCAGTGGCCGTATCCTCTTGCGGCGCCCCTGGGGGGTAAGCCCACCTACCTCCCGAAGGGGAGCCTTGAACAAAGTGTACCGAAGCAGACTGCAATCAGGATTGTGGCGTGCAACAACTCGATCAAATTGGGTTGAGGTGCACAGTTGTGATATCCTCGTTTTGATTGCCATTGCCTCATCCATATTTTCTTCATGGTGTCATTGCCATCGTGTGCTGTATGGAAAGGTGCACACGACGCTGCTAGACGAGCAGGACAACGAGCTTGCCAGCTCGGCACGGCCTGCCATGCTGCCACACACATCGGCGCTCCGCAAGGGCGTGGGCATGATGTTCGCTTGGCCGCTGCATCTTGCCGGACTTAGGAGAGAAGAGGAAACCATATACGTGGATTGTATAGACTACTATGAGGTGAGACTCGCTTGCAAATGGCTCACGGCGGTCTCGTTTACCACATTTTATTGGGCATGAGGTGAACAATGCCATGCTCATGATGACGTAACGTGTATTGTATAATCGCCGTTTACAGTGTAGTTTTCTGTCGGAGTACGTGCGCCGGCCTCAGCTTCCTTCAGCTTCCTTCCCCCCCCCCTTTGCCGGAATGCCGAAGCCTTTAGCACTACCTTCCAGCGTTGTATACGATACACGATACTTCGAAATATATAGTTGGCTGTGAGCAAGTGTTCATGGCGGGATACCTCCGTCAAACGCAGCTTCGCTTTCCGCTGCGACCTTCATCCGTTCTAGGAAAACGCGCTTCACCCGTTGACGAAGGCGAGAGTGACCGTGTCGAGTGGTCGCGTACAGTTCTACAGCTCCTCGATCAATATCACTCCGCAGGTAGGTACTACGGAAGGCCCGGTCAGATTTTTGTTGTTGCTGTTGCCATCGACGTTGCCCTGATGACTTTTGTTGTCCCCGTGTGGCCCGGGCGGTCAGCTGCGGCCCTCTACGTTCGATTTTTGAATGGAGCAAAACACCGTTTTGAGTGGCGCTGGCTTCTGTGCAATTCGGTGCCGGGAAGCCACGATACTCACGGAATCGTACTGACATCGAGACGTAATACAGACATTGGCCTGAGTTGCTGGGAGACCAATTGATCCACGCCTTTGGTGTGCTACTTCTTGCCCTTCCTTTGGTTTGCTACGAGTTTCCAGAGGGAGAGCTCCTCCTCAGCATCCGTCAGTCCCGTTTCCTGTCGGCTACCTGTCTCTTGAGTCTTGCTGGACGGATTCCGCGGCTGATGCCCGCCATCCCTTTTATTTGCACAGACTCAGGTCCCTTGTCCCCTCGCTACGAAGAAACCTATCGTTGGGGCTATTTCCGTTGAGTAAATTGACTAGCAATGAGGGTGCTGATCTTGGTTGCAATATGCTCGCCACGAGCCTCCAATATGAAGGGGACGAGGAGCGTATGAACTCCTGTATTGTTTCTGGGATAACCAAGGAGAACGACCGGATGACGGTCGCATCTGTGTTAGGGATGTGAATGTTTCCTTTTTTGAAAAGAGAAGGTTCCTCACTGGTCAATTGCTAGGGCAGGCGTC